TGCATATAGTAACTAAATACCACTAAGAGGGTTACTTGTGATCATTATCTCTCCGATTAGTTAATCTATCGTGGGGAATCATGCCTAAGGAGTGATTAACAAAATTTCTCAAAAAAACATGGCTTTCTGGCTCTTTGCAGAGTGACCAGTGCAGCTTATGCTAATCAGTTTTACCTTAAGCTTTCCGCACAATTCTTTCACACACATTTTGATTATAGCGTTACTCATCAATTATTGAATGTTTTGACACATTTCGCGCATGGTGGGACGCACGCTGTGCTCTTACAACGTCGGTTCACGCCTAGGGTGGATTACGAAATTCTTTCCTACCTTTCTGAACCTATAACGTTATTTGATTGAAGGGTAACTGTGCTCTCATACGTGCGAACGGAGACAACATTTTTGTCAACAACGTCGGATGTGTATTTATATTTGAATATCTTCAGTCAAAATCACGAGATCGGAAAAACTCAAATGGAAAACAGGAAGCTGTTAAAGTGATGGAGTACCGCCAAGCCGCACGAAGGTCACGAAACAAGTGGACTCCCTTATTTAGTTCCAAGGTAGATTTCCTGTTATTTTCTTATTTTTAGCTCTAGCTCTAGCCATTTTTCACTCTGAGTGAACGCTAGCTCAAAGTGGCTTTCTGATTTGAGTGAATACAGTCCGCTACTCTGACATTGATTATAAATCTGTCTTTCCTATTTACTGAGCGATATTTTCGTCACGTTTGTTAGCATGGTCCAGCGGAGGGAGAGGCAAAATTTTAGAATTCACACCAGGGGATCAGCAAATCCATTTGAGCTTTTCGTTCTAAATCGTCTTTAAGAAGCACTGTATCATGAGTCTTGCACCGCTGCTCCTCCTAAATTTGATCTTCCCATTTAGCGATCCTGTTAAGCTTGTGACACTAAACGCTTGCAATGCACTAGTTATTTCATTTCTATTTTTCTGCGCCGAGCAGCTGTGATAATTGCGTTCAGGGGATGAAACTTCACATGGGAACTAATTTTCTTAAGTCCAGTTTTTGACCCGGCATATACGACTCTTTTGCTCGCTGGCCTCCAACATTATCAATCCACTTTGTGGCCAAAATGTTGTTTCTGTTAAACCATCTATAGAAAAGGCAGACAGTCTTGATCACGAATATAATGATCTTCCTGGAAGCGTCGTCATTTGGGTGTCTAAGCCTTTCCCAGTCGATGTACCAAGTGTAGCGATCATTTAATTTTTTGCTGTTCTATTCAGAAAAACGCACAATATCTATAATCAAGGCGCTTAATCACCACTTGATGTAAAGAGTTGGTCACAGTGGTATCGTTAAAGAAGCGAGCGACTAGGAGTCTCCATAACCTTTTTCTTGAAAGGATTCATAAAAACCGTGGCTCATCATCGTGACGTCTTCTTATGTGAGATAAAAGCTCCACCACCTATTTATTCGACTCGTGAAGCGAATGTTCTCTAGTGCGTCTCATGTAGGTGCTAAGTGTGAGCTTCCAGTATGGTTTTAAAGAATTTTCGTAAATTTGTTAGTGGCATTTTAACTTGAATACCAGTAGTCGTTAACACATTGCGTACCGCGTGCGCCACATGGTGGCGCACGATTTCACACGAAACATCATGGTTTAATCTGATTTATTTGACATTTTTCAATGCTCATGGACTGGTTGCACTCATTTTCAGAGCCTGGAAACCATACGTGTCATCACTGGTAAAATTGTTGATAGATTAATGATGATACGTTTTTGAAAAATATAAAAAAGCTACGAAGGTGCTCATACAACGGCGGTCCGCAATGTGTTAACGCCGGAAACAAATTTCTGGCTGAAGATGCCTATTTTTTCTCCAAAAAGTCCGGCATTGAAACAAAAGTAATAGTTCTTTTTAAGAAAGCTACTTATCACACCACTCGACGAGTTATATTCTACGATGAGTCGAATACGCTTTCCTGAAGACGTTGACGTGGAAGTTCTTCGTTTATGCTTACTAGACAGGTACTTCTTTGTTTCCAGTGTCATGTCATGGAACTTTTATTCCTTTTGCAGATTGTCAAAAGTAATGTTATGATTTGCGACTCCTACCTCACACATTTCAGACGTGATATACCGGTGGCATGTAGCGTTCAAGCTGCACGACCACCAACACCTGACGGTGAGGTGGACGAGTTGTCCGAGTATTTTGCTCATTTCGTGCGAGTCGATTTGAAGATGTCTTCGCTGGCAGAGTCAATGTATGTATAAAATAGCATCTTAATGTACAGTAGTTACTACTCACTAAGCACTTTTCTAAGTACAGCACTGTGTGTAACTTTAATTTTTGGTTTCTCAGGGTTATTACCACTTATTTATTTTAATGTCAATCGTATTACCTTTTGTTGTGCCCGGTCACTCAAGCGTAGCCGTACTATGCTCAATTCATATTGTATCAGATGAGCCCGCCTTAAAATTGCGCACTGGATTTTTATTGGTTAGAAAGAGTCGTCACTTCATTAGTTTTATGGACTCAGTTTATTATAAATAACCGCCAATAAAAATGCATACGAGATTCAAAATTTGTGAAACTTTAACTGACTAGTGCTTCTGAAACGTGCATATAATACAAACATTTGGAATAAGGCTGTTCAACAGCGATCACAATAACAGCGAATGTGATTCAGAAAATGTCAACTAACATGTATATATTTGGAGCGAGACTGATATGCTATATTTTTCAGCATATATTTGTTAAATTGCAGAAACTCATACACCGGATGATGTGATGTGACTTTTTGCATCCCTTTCGCCAACCATGTGACACCGTGTTCTTCCGCGAACATATCGCCAGCTCGACATTTGCGGATGTAATGCATGCGCTCCATTTTTGCCAACTGAAACACATTTGTCTTATACAGTACAAGCAAGCTCATATACAGCTAAGCACAGATCGTCCCAAGTCAGAACCTTCATAATCCAAGATCCTTCAAACTTAAAGGAACATCCTCAGCAGAAGTAGTGTCGAAGAATCTATTCAGTGGGTGGGATAGTGTAGCCTTCAGGTATCAGCCTACAGATGTGCCGTTGCCGCGGCACGAATGTGCGCGACAATGGCGATAGTTTTACAAAGTCAACATCTGGCAACTAATCTTAGCATTTGGACGAGTTACGTCGCGCACACCCATGACACGCAACGTGGATTGGCGTAGCGGCTAATTCAAATACGCGCGGGTTAGTTGAGCCGTGGAGCAGGCAAGTTCGTACAACTCGTCCCCGCCCCTCCTTATTTTGGGGGGAATCCTTGTTTAGGGCTTCACGGACGGTTTTGTTTTTCATTTCTAGTCAACTCGACATCAACAACTCCACAATAAGTCGTGAATACAAGCTAAATCGTGAATACAAGGCGATTGGGGCGTTGCTTTGATGCCATCTTGTAATATATGTTACGATCTTTATGTCATTATCACATGTACGCGTTGTTATAACATTGTTCTTACTGCGAAACCAATATGGGGCTTTACGCCCATAGAAATACCGATCCGGTTTTTAGAGTAATTCATTTTTATTGTTTTCTGTTATCAAAAAGTACGGATTTTTTAGAAAAACTAAACCGGTTTACAGAGTCCCTTAATATATAGCAACCGGGAGCACGTGCGAGACTTACTGAGAACAGGCTGATCCAGATAGCTGAATTTACCAGTATCTAGCTTAATAAGTAAGTTCTGTTTTTTTTTTTATTTGCTAAAATATTATAGTCAGAATGTCAAGATAAATGAAAAGGACATTAGAATTATGTCGTGGAAAAATATGTCATATTCCTCTCGAGCAGACTGTGCATTGCAACTGTGGAAGTAATACAAGATGTAGCCGAATATACAAACTTTGGACAAATAGTAGAATGAAATAAATAAGATATTTAAAATTTGGAAACAACTGTATAAACTCACTCCACGTCCACGATTGCGTCGAATAATTCCTTCCCATCCGAAAGAAGGCGATAAAATTGATGGAGCTCCGTCTCCTCCGAATGCAATGAAATCTCCAGTACATGGATCGCTCGAGATACGCCTCAGGAAAAGACGAGCTACAACATTTAGCAACGCTTTGTATGCGTCATGACTGTGATCAAATATATGAACACACTTCGTTTCCTTATAGTTGAAGAGCTCCTAGTTGAAGGCCCAGCTCCGCATGATGTTCTACTATTCCTGTCATTTTTCTATCGAACCCCGTTCTCTTCGGCAAACTCTCCGTCACTCTCTCCACACACACACGCTCGAACAACGTCATGCCGAACACATCATTCCAATCCAGGGAAACTCACTCGTGGTCGAATCTTCATCGGCTGTTACATTATTGTAGTTTTTCTTCGTAATATTTCTCGCATCACATTCTCTCTAAAAATTACACTGAACAAAAAAGACAAAAGAAGCTAATTTCCACTTACGAAACACGAATTGAATGAAAAAACACAAACTCTACTCTGTTTTGTGCTAAAGTTTGGTCACACCAAGTTTCTTTTCATATCACGAAATTTTAAAACATCTGTAAATTGAAAAGAAAGTCTCAGCAGAACCGTGCATATTTCTCATCCTGAAAATAGTTGCGATTTCGATTAACTGTAGCGAAGAAATACTTGAGTCTACTCGTTTTTCCGGACTGATCATGTGAACACTGTATTAGGTGCCATAGCGATATACGTTATACGCTCACGTATTCAATCGCCTCAGCTGTGCTAAGAAATGCAACTGCCGTCCAACCATAGCTATGAGTTTATCAATTGTTGTGACCAAATAACCGTCTATTGGGAACAGTAGCCTAGAATTAGTAATAGCATTGGCAATAATGAAATTACTACCGTAAATAATGAAACTTTTATCATCAAGAAAAAAAAAATGAGAAATCGTCAAGCATTAAAATGCTGAAAAAAAACAATTTTTTGGTTTGTCATGAAATGGAAACAATCTCTCAATTTCCACGTTTAAACTTCTTATCCTTCTTGCTCCCCGCAAACGGCATTCCCCGCCGCTGATCCTATCCTATGGGGGGGGGGAAACAGGGTTGCGTCGTAGGACCAGCCATACTCTGTGTTTCTAGACTCCAGACAGCGCGACCCCTTAGAGAAAAGAGTGCTTCAACAGGGAGGGTAGCTACAACATCACGCGTTCAATGGCGGGTCTTATGACGCAAAACTGTCTTCTCAAGCATAGGAGAGAATCATCAGTGGGGGACGCGTTTCCCTGGACGAGGACAGGATACGGCCCCATGTTGCTTTGTAAGATGACTAGTTTTCGTCGAGACCCATGAGTATCGTACAAAACACAAAGAACTGACACTGAGGGCAGCATGCTTAGACCCACCCTACCCCATTCATAGATAAACACTTGGATAAAAAGGTCTAGTAGCGGTAACAGGTTGTGATGAAATGACTGAAAAACTCAAACAGTGCGCTCTTTCGACTGGAAAGAAAGCATCAGATATGTAGTCTACCGTTGAACTACACGACCAAAACCTTGGCCAATTAGGTCTTTCCCTATAGTCCTTTATGGCAGTGTATTCTCATTCCCACTATCCACAGTTCGGTCTCGAATAATATGAACAAAAACAGCAGTAAGCAGTTCTTGAAAAAAGAAGGATTCAAAAGCCATATTCGAGATCGTCAATCAAAAACCTGCCATTAACCAAAAACGATTTTAAGTGAAGTGCTAGTTAGTTTTGAAACATGCCTCTAACGGCATATGTTTCAAAACTAATGAGCACTTCACTTAGAATCGATTCCATCTGATGTAAAAAAATTGCCATCAATCAAACTAACCGAACATTATCCTCGTAAGTATTGGGATCAATGTTTCCATCCAAAAGGCTTTTTATTTCGCACAAGAGATCAGCGTAGTTGGAAGCAGGAGATCGACGAGGACTCTACAAGGTGCCAAAACGGATTGAGAGTGCGTGAATAGGTAAAACCATAGTGTTCATAGAGGATTGATAAAAGAAGCACTCTTTTAAAACACATACTTTTATTATGGCTAATCCGTTATTCGTGTCACTAGCGTTGAGTTCATGGCTACCAAATCCTTTTCCATGAATTTTGTACAACTCCGCCTGCATAGCAGCGATTGCTTGCTCTTCCTAAAACATATACAGCGATTAAAATTAAGTTTCGAAAAAATGAAGGCAAGAGTCACGTTAGAACTTTGCAGCCAGTTTTCGCCGAAAATACTCAAACAATATCCAATAGAATGAGCCTCTACCCTCTACCTCTGTTTAGCCAAATGAGAAATGATTTAAAAGTCGCGATGCGCAAAGCTTGACCTCTGCTTAAGTATGTGTGCAACTAGAAGCTCTACCTAAAACGATCACTAATTCGAAACGAAGATGAGGTAAGGTTTAAGGTAACGGTAAGATGAGGTAGGGTTCAAGGTAACGCCTTACGACTTTTTACTGAGTAGTCGTTGTATTTGTAAGAGAAGTTGGATTTTACGGAAGGAGTGAATACTATCAGGGATAGCGGTCTTTTTTGCTTATTGTTGAGTATAGCAAATTTGCACGCATGGA